CGTAAAAAGTACGGCGAGAGTAAACCGGATTAAAAGAACAATGATAAGATTTAAATGCATCAACGAACGGAAATACACGCTGATAACTGCGCAAATCATGGGATATGTTACCACGCCATACGCACAGAAATGTTTCATGCAGAGTGTACCGGTGCCTTTGCTCGTAAATGAAGTATTTGTTAGCAGGACTGTGCATTTTAACGCCTTTCTGCCGTCTAACCTGCCGCCTTCTATTGGGGCGCTTCAATCTTCTGTCAAGTATTTTATTGTGGTGAAGGTTTTTGATGGAAAGGATGAACTTGCCTGTATAAAAGGCAAATTTAGGCTCCTTTCAGATACGAGTACGTACGATTTCAGGGAGATTTACATGCTGAACCAGAATTGTTGCCGTGTAGGGAGTAGGACGTATGAAGAGCACGTTTTAACGTTAATAAGGAATAAATTACAGGGCTGTGACCAGGTAAGGTGCCTAACAGCCGTCTTGGATGCACAAGCAAGCAAAGAATCACAAAATACGGGACAGGCTGAAACAAATGATCGTAAATCAGCAGCTGATACCGGTACGGTGCCTACACACAAGACAGGAGAAGATAGAAATGTACAGGATGCGATGCAGGATCTAAGAATTGAAGAGAATCGTACAGAAGCAGAAATTCTCGAGTACAAACTTGCAAAAATAAACGAGATGGGACTGTTAAACGACATAAAGAGCGCTCAGCTGAAATACAAGAGGGAAAGCAAACCAAATCTGCACATTCTGCTTGATAACGAGCACAGCGAAGAACAAAAGCTCATTAAACTGGTCATCAAGGACAAGAAGGTAAAACTGGCAGAAATAAAAATGAAGAACTTCTTCTATACCAACGACGAAAACGTGTTCAATATCAGGTTGTTGAAAGAAATGAAGAAAATAAAGGCTGTGGTGAAAATGAAGGAAGAGGCCGAGTACACCAGCAAGGAAACAGTCCTGTTTATATTTGAAAGACATAATTTGGAGTATTTGTTGCACATGAACGTGTTTCTCACGAGATTTACGCGGTGTACTTTCAATTCAGATTTGTTCAAGGTTAATTTTTTGTAGAATTTAAATTCAACTCGTATAAGAGCAGAGTGCCTATTACGGTGAGGCATAACGCTTTTCATTATTAACGGTGTAACTTTCGTTTATAGAACAGATTAAAATCGGGCAGTACATCCATTAAAACACTTTTATTAAACCAGCGTTTTATCCTTTACCGGGTAAATATCACAAGCTGCAGCAATTTT